ACAAGACATCCCTCCTGTTTTCCCGAGGCAGCGTGCACTCTGACTAACTCCGAGGGATTTGAGCAGCCTTGTTAGGACACGGGCGTCCCTGAGTTGTACATTGTGACTGGGAGCCAAAGGGAGAGCGAGCATATAGCCTTCAAGTGATGGAAAACATGGGTCCAACCAAAGCATCCGGTCTTATAAGCACAGCTGCGGACAGTGATGAGATCTGACTCGCAGGTCTCAGCTTCCGTCTCTGCTGCTGACTTTCCCACCCTGTACATCAAGGGCTATTTTTACCACAGCAGTGACTGGACATCCCGAGAGACGCGACGAAGGCCCGTCCAACTGAAGCTCCCTCGACATACGCACGTACTGACCCTTCAAAATGCCCTTTGAACTGCTTCTTCCAGATCTGCGAGGTACTCATTTTGAGGAACGATATTTTTGAAAAAAAAGAAAGAAAGAAAAACAAAAGCTCTTTCGAATACTGGAACATTTAATTAAATCTGCAGCTGCAATCACACTGCAGACTCAAAGTATCACGTAAGAGAAAACAACTGCTTTCGCAGTCTTATGGGTTGCAACACGGCCGTGTGTGATGTGCTTTTCAAAGTTTACAGGAAACAGATCTGCTTGAGCTCATCTGTTTTCATAAGTATGTTGTAACACTGACAAAATCTCCTTAGAGGATACATCTCCCGTGTTCATCTGAACAAAAAGCATGGTGAAAAACAAGTTTTTAGCCTTTATTATCTGGGGCGAACAAAATCTAGAATCAGTGCGCACCGGTTCTACAAGCAGGAACGGCGTTAACAGGATGTTATTAAAGGTTTTTCTCATCTCTCTTCCAAATAATGCAAAATGTAGGACGTGGGAAAGAGTAACCACAGTTAATTACCATGACAATGTATAACTAATTACTAATGCGAGCTTAAAATAAAAGCACGCAGACAACAATGTTTGGTATCCTCCCTTCCCCCGTGACACGGTGCAGGCTGAAGAGAAGACAATGTTTCTGAATTATGAAAATAATCTCAGCGCTTGCTGGAAAGCAAACAGGGGCTCATTTTTAATCCCTCTGTCATTCTAATGCAAAGACAAAGTAGGTCTATAGTCAGTTCTGAGAGAAACTGGCTTTTAAATAGCCACATTCAGCAATCCTCTTACGCTCTAAATATGAAAACAACCACCCATCCCTGTCCCTGCAACAAAAAGTTGTTGATCCAGTGAATCTATAAAAAGCTTTTTCCCAGACATTCCAGTGCAGTCGCAGCAAATATGCCAGAGACAGTGGATGGAGCGAGGAGGCCCACTGGGATTCACGGCATACTGGAGTGACTGCGTAACAGAACAACTCAACGCTCAAGCAGATTTGATTAAGCTGGTTATGTTGTTATAAGAACTGGGAGGAAATAAACTGTTCATTCAAGCTACGCACGTGACACAATGACTGCAGCACCTCAGACAGATGAAATATAAATGAAGTCCCAATAAAGCACAAGGCAGATAAAATATAACTCATTTATCGCAACCTATAACAATGCAGCTTAAATGACATAAAATAGCAACGCCAACAATGTTCATATTTGATAAAACGTGTGTTAAACACTAAAATACCAGATATCCTCTGGTTCCTGCCTCTCATATGTGAATATATGATTGTAAACTTTATGAACTTGGAAAAAGCAATTTGAATACATTTTTGTGCTGTGTGGGAAATGGGACTCTAGCAGTTTTTTATCATGTATTGACAGAAAAATGTATCAATTGCTCCTGAACAATCATTCAAGACAATTAGCATTTAATGAAATCCTAACACAAAAACTCAACGGCCAATTCATTAGGTACGCTTTGCTCATACCAGGTTGGACCTTTTTTACTTTTAGGAATGCTTTAATTCTTCAAGGCATATGTTCAATAAGGTGGGGGGGAATCCGATATTTTGGACCATGCTGACATGATAGCATCATGCAGTTGCCGTGATCTGTACCTCCCGTTCCGCCACATGCCAAAGGCATTCACTGAGACAAGCTCTTGAGATCTGGTGAGTGCAGAGGCCATTTAAGTATGGTGAAGTCATTGTCATGTTCAAGAAGCCGGTTTGAGATGATTTGAGTTTTGTGACATGGTGCATTGCCCTAATGGAAGGAGCCTTCAGAAGATGAGTACACTGTGGTCATAAAGGGTGGACATTGTTAAAACTGCACAGGCAGGCTGAGGCTTTTTAAATCACGCAAACTTGGTATTAAGCAGCCAAAACTGAGCCCAGAAAACATCTCCAACACCATTACACCAACAGCAGCAGCCTGAATAGTGATATAAGGATGGATCCATGCTTCCTGGTTGCTTACACCAAATTCAGACTCTACCATCATCAGATCAAATCAGTAAACATTTTTCCAAGCTTCTGCTGTACAGTTTTGGTGAACTTATCTATTTTCTGTTCTTAGCTGACAGGGGTGGCACATGATGTGATCTTCTGCTGCTGTAGTCCATCTGCTTTGAAGTTCAACATGTTTTGCATTCAGAATGCTCTTCTGCGTGTCCTCATTACTTACTTATATTTATCTTCTTATCAACTCAAAGCAGTTTGGCCATTCTCCTCTGACCTCTGGCATCAACAAAGCATTTTCAACCAGAGAACTGCTGCTTACTGGATATCTTATCTTTTATAGTAAACCCCAGAGGTGGTTTCATGGGAGATTTCCAGTAGATCAACATTTTCTGAAATACTCAGACAAACCCGTCAGCCATCAACAATCATGTCGCAGTTCAGTTTAAACTTCAGCATGTTGTCTTGACCATTTCTACATGCATAAATAGACTGTGCCATGTGACTGGCTAAATAGCTATTTGAGTTACCTGTTGTACCTAACAAAGTGGCTGATGAGCAAATGATTACAGATTTTTATTTTTAATGCAAAGTCTTCTCAAGCATAAAAAACATTTTTTGTTCATTAAATGGGCAGTGATATCAGGAATATGCACCGACTTCTATTAAGTAAGGTAAGAGATTGATACGCTGCCCAATCATTATAATGTCCAAAGGCCAATTCTGAGTCTGGAAAATCTCAGAAATAGCATTTCTTTTTTAACTTTTCAATTTTCATGCAGCATAAAGGGAAAAAACTAACAATGTAATAATTACATCCAATTTTCTGCACATCAGAATCACAAGAAGGCATCTATTTTTACCTTAACTTAAAATAATTCAGTTTTACACATCAGTGCGTTCCAGTTATATGCAGCATGAATCACAATATGCTAAATACAAAACGTTTGAATAACGATTCATTTTCATTATTCAAACATGACAGCACCCTAAAGCTCAAGGTCAGAACATAAACCAAACCGTGAGCTACATTCACACACAGCTCGGAGTTTTTACAACCAAAACTTGAGAGCATAACAAATGAACCTCTGCCTGTCATCTCCGCTTAGTCGTTTGATTTACGGCTTGCAGAGCACCTGGGTGAAAAGTTCAACACTTAGTGGTGCACCCACCCGCAGCCAATTAGCCGACGCAACCACCCAGCATCAGCTGATCGCCACAAATCTCTAGCTGTTGCTGCTGCACATCATCTTGTCACCGCTGCCCTCGACCTGCCTCACTCATGGCACCCCACTCACCATCACTATCGATCAATCACCACGTGATCAGGAGAGGTCAAACTGCAATAAAATGAAATTCAAGCAGCCTCATATGTAAATGATGCATATACATATATGCAACAACCAAAAAGACAAAGCATTATATATTATTCACAGGCCCGTGTTTCTGTGAACCACAGGTCTCCACCATGTGGCTGCCGTCTTTTTATACTAAAGTAACGTTTGCATTGTTTGTATTCTGGAAATTTCTTTAGAAATTAGTCGACAAGTGAGCGCGCAATATGTATGATTTCTAGGCTAGGTTACACGTTTTTAAAATCACGTAAAAAAAAAAATTCAAAACGTCAAGGGTGCTCTGACAACTACGTCATTTTCCAGCTCGGATGTGAGGTTTGCTCAAGCGTAAAACAATCAAATACAATCGTCAATCGATAATGAGCAGACTGTTAAAACGCCACAAAACACAACAAAAACGTTTTCCTGACATTTCCCAGCCCGTTTACACGTCAAGCTAACGTTAAAAAACGTCCTTGTCGGCTCGTAGCGCTGACAGAACCGTTACAGCTCGGATTTAACTTGACTGTAGTCGCACCTCGCCGACTCCGATATGATAATAGCTTTGTGAATAAGCGTGGGGAAACTCACCTAGGCTGCTGTAAAGCACAAAACAGGCTACGAGTCGCGCAATCGCCATCTTGCAGCGTATCATTTATCGGTTACAGCTGCACACACTCAGCACCTCTGAGAGGTAAGAGGAGGATGAGGGCACAAAAGACTGGTGGATGTTGCCATCGACGAGTTTCCATAGCTACAAGGGCTCCGCTGTGGGGTTGCGCCCTGAACGCAGTCTGACAGGCGGTAGGCGGTGCCAAACATGCCCTCCGCCTCCTCCTCCACATACAGACGCACAATTCTGACCGTATGTTCTCGTGGGAAAGTGGCGACCTACACCCTCTAGTGGTTGTTTTTCTTTTTGGGACCTTAAAAGACCATAACAGGGAAGATTTTTTTCCCCTTTATTAAAAGAAACATATAACAGCTGAAAACCAAGCAGCATTTTGAGATCTCTTGCTCACGCTGACAGACAGAAGCATTATATACATGATCAGAAATTACAAGAAAAGGATGTCGATGCAGATTAGCAGACTGGATATAATCTTTTACGGATGATGCTTTGTTTTGTTCTCCCCAGTTCAGTGTGAATAAGAAGTACAACTAATGCTAAAGTCTCCGGTGAGCTGACACTGTAATTGGTGTTTGAACTGAATCAGAGAGGAGAGGGAACAAGGCAATCATTGCCTCAGAGTCTTGTAAATAAACATGTAACGCTGCTCTCTTCTGTATGCTCGTGAGGACTGTCCCTCTTTTTCATATAAGATAAAATGGTGAGAAATGCATCATCAGGATGATTTAAGATGGATGTAGGTCAGTGTTTTGATCATCAAAAGTGGATGATTTATTGATTGATTGATTTATTTCTATGAAAAAATTTTTAATTTCTCTATTTCATTTCCTTGATACAGTAGGTGTGAGTATATTTATGACAATCAGTTTCAATGTTAAGAGTATTAAAGATGTTGAGTATGTCGTCTGGATATTTGAATACAGTGAACTGATTCTTCTGTTTTATGCATGGAATAGACATCGAAACTGGAATGAGACATTTTTTAAAAACAAAGTCATTTAAAGGTCCATCCACTATAGCGTCAACTATCCGTTTGACTTCTCACACTTTCATTTAGCTTCAATGACACATTTTTTACATTTTTAAAGAACCGTTATAATGAAAAGAGGTTTTTACAGGCCTAAAGGGACTTGTGGAGTAATTTTGGCACACTCTTCATTACAACATTGCTTCAGTTCTTTGAGTTTTATGGGCATTTGTTTATGCACAGCTCTCTTAAGGTCCAACCACAGCATTTGATTGCAGCACCTTGGTTCTTTTTGTTTTTGGGCCATTCTGTTTTAGATCTGCTTCTGTGCTTGGGATCATTGTCCTGTTGCATGACCCAAATTGTGCCCAAGCTTTAGCTGCCAGACAGAAGGCCTTATGTTGGACTCTAGAATAGTTTGGTATATAGAGGACTGAATATACAGAGTTCATGACTAGATGGTCTGGTTCTGTGGCAGCAAAACAAGCCCAAATCATGATCCCTCCACCACCATGCTTGACAGTTAGAATGAGATATTTGTGCTGATAAGCTTTGTTTGGTTTTTGCCTAACATAGCGAAATATCTCCATTTCTGTCTCATCTGTCTGAAAGTCTTTGTCCCAGAGGTTTTGTGGTTTGTTCAAAACAATTTAGCAAGCCCAAGCTCTGCTGCTTACTGTCACAGGACAACCAATGGGGTATACTCTTGACACACATGCATTTCTATGCATGCAGTAGTGATCTGCTTAGATTTTCAAAGGACTGCAAACAGTCTGAGAAAACTTTCTATCTATCTATCTATCTATCTATCTATCTATCTATCTATCTATCTATCTATCTATCTATCTATCTATCTAAAAACAGTTGCCTGTAAGACCACGCTGAGGTCTTCGGCAACAATTAATCAACACTACAAGGGATCCTCACCAAAACAAATATAACAAAAAATCACTGATGATGCAATATTTATTAAGAAAGAACCTTGTGCTTTTTTATCTTTATTTCAATTTCAAAAGATTGCAGCGTCCTCTATAAACTGTTTTATATTCCCGACATCAAAGTGTTCTATAAAGATTCTATTAATATGATTTTTATAGAGTTGTGTTTCCTATAATTGTTTTGACAAATATTAGCTTCTTGGATTCCTGGAAAAAGCAGTAGATGGCAGTGTGAAACCAGAAATAATAATCTGCCAATACATCACACTCATCCAAAGATCAACAGCATGTATGTATAGACATAAGGACTATAATTAGGTATGCATATATTATATTTTGCATTTCCACAATTTCACAGTCACATGATGTGAAACTCTTCTGATGCAGTTAAGGTTTAGCCCACTGAATACAACCGTGTAGTCCACCCACTACAAGAAAAAGAAAGAAAGAAAAAAAGACATAAAAAGGCAACATATTACAGATGAACTTGTTGCCCTCTTTGAATACTCACGCTCCATCAGACCATGCTGCCCTGCTTTCACTGTTGGTAGTGTTGCTAGGCAATGATTCCTCTGTTGAGAAGCTCTTCGTGGCTGCCCTTTTGTTACGGCTCAGACAAAACTGTACATTTTGATTGTTTTACAAAGAAATATCCAGGTTTGTCATGTTCCTTTTTGAGAAAAAAATGTGAAGACTTCATTTCTGAAATGCAAAAAATATGTGCCATGCTTCAACTAATTAAAGAGCCAAATTAGCGAGAGCATCGCAGTGTGACAGTGAGTCATATTACAGGTGTTGCTTATTGGCACCTGCATCTGTGCTATGTAGCTGTTGTACAAGGCGGTGGCTGTTTGCTTGAGCCATCGTGCATCATTTGCACAGTGATTATATATCTTCCAAGCTATGAATAATGCACTGCAGTTGGATTTAATATCCACCCAGTCTTTCCAGTCTCAAACCCGCAAGCCCTCTTCGTGCAAGCTTGATAGACAGGTCTAACACCAACTAAGCTATTTAAGGGGTTGAAATAAGCACAGGATATTAAAGCAGGTAAAACCTACAGTGAATTAAAAGAGCAAATTTCTTTCTCTAGTTGGTGCTTTGCGCTCCTTCCTGTGAGTTTTGACATTTTGCAGTATATCATGAAAAACAGAAACTGCTGCTGAATGGATAAACGCCTGATACACACATTCTGGATTTTAAACATTTTGATTATACTCTGAAGCCTCAGGGTTTTTATATTTTATTTGTAGTACAACGAAAATTCTGTAAAGACTCTTCATCTGTGAGGCCAAATTGACCAACCTTGGCCTTTGTGAATAAGAGACAAAATTCTTTTTGTTATTGACTGTTGTCTGCATCTCTCAGCTACAACTCCACTACATTCAATGCAACAGAAATAAAGCACAAGAAACACCACATCTTTTTAGTTAGTCCCCTTAGTCAATGTGCCGTGCACTATAACCTTTAAAAATGGTTGATCCGCATTAATCTGCATGCAGTACATTTATAATGTATTTTACTGTTTACTACTTTGTCCATGATTTCTATTTTTTCTTACAAGACTTAAATGGTTAGTCAAATGGAGGCACTTTAGTCCCTTGAGTGTAAATACTGTATATAATAACAGCTTCCTTATAGCGGCTTCTAAAACCAGTGTTACAATGTGCCTTAATATTAGAAAACAATAAAAACAGAGATACAGGAAACATGGTAAAATAGCTGTAATTGTACTTTTCTTGCTAGAGGTTTAAACTTGAACACAGCTTAAAATATAGTCTTGATTCTGGCTTGGAAAAGTTATAAAACTATTCAGTAACAATCTTAAAATCAATCTCTTACAAAATTAAAAGCCCACATGGCAATTCTCAGCGTGGTGTGATCTCTTTTCCTGGTTTTAGTTAGCAATTTAAAACGTTCCCTTCAGAGTCATGTGATTTATTTCTGAAATCTTAGCAGTCGTGAGACGAAGGTAAGTAGGGCATCCTCTGACTCTTTCGACTGGACCAACCATGGAGAGATTATTCAGGTGTTTTAAAAGATTTGCTCATGGCCGAAACATTTGCCCTTACTTACTTACTGCAAAATACACAGCCAGCTGTGTTCTGCAGCGAGAGAGTTCTGCAGGTTACTCACAGCAGATACTTTCTGTTTATTTCATTTTAAAAAATCAGGGCAGAAGTGAAAGAACATACCAGGTCGCTGTCTTGCACAACGGCAGTAACGCGCTGTTATGCTGTGCAGAGACGCATCATTATAAACCTGCTCAAGATAATGGACATCCATATCCAAACTTTAGACCATATACACTTATTGTATTGTGTATATAAATGCCTTATATGCAGTTCAGGGCCCAGTATTTTTACATACTGCTGTTTCTCATGCTTTTCACACTGAAAACAAATGATACATATGTTGGATAGATGAAGGCACTCCACATCTTAAGGGATTTAAAGAAATGCTAATGTAGACTATCTCTGGCTTTATATTGGTCATAACTGTCACACTTTCTTTGATGGATATTCTAATCTCTAAGTAACCTTCTGTGAGAGTCAGAAACCTGCTCTTTAAAGATTCCCATAAAGCCTGCCAGCCCCCTCCATGCAGCCATCATTAGTGTGTGTGTGTGTCTTTTTCTCTTCCAAATATTTCTGCTGCATATTGTTCCTGTTCTAACTGTATAATGTAAGTACATTTAAGCTGCATTGTGCTTTTTAAAACTGCGACATTCCCGAGGCTGTGTAGCTTGTGCTGCTTTTGATCTTTCATTTTAAATGTAACATTTTTCTGATTGCAGCTGACACACATTCGGATGGAGCTTTCATTAAAAAGCGGCAGCCAGAAGAGTCTGTGGGACTTTAAGGTGCAGCTCAAAGTCCCAGACACAATGATCAGATAGAAAAGGCAGGAAAAGGAACAAATGCTGGGGAGGTTAAAGTTTCACATCATGTCAGATTGAAGGAGGCAAATGGGTTCGTTAAGGAGGGATTCAGCGTCCTTCTGCGGCATTATGTAACTATTCACTTAAATTAAATTATCTCTATATAATCTTAATGCTTCAGCTCATTGTGACCTTTATGGATATCCTGATAACTGTTTATTTGTGCCCTTTATAGCATGATTAGTTACCACACAGCAAGAAGCCTGGGGCATTTCTGGCTTCTCCAGTTTTTTTCCCCACAATCCAGAGACATGCAGCTTAGATCAACTGGTGATTCAAAATATACCGTAGATGTAAACTGGTTGTTGGTCTCTCTGCATTAGATCAGTGACCTGCCCAGG